GTCATTTATTATCCCCACTCCTAGTGACTGACCTAATTTTTGAAAATGCCTTTGTCTTGATTTTGCTTTAATTTGGAAAAGCATAGTTTGTATGTGATTTAACACTGAGATTTGCTACCTCCAAAGTTCTTATTTATTTTTCCTGGGAATTATAATGCTTCCAAATGCTTTCTGATCTTTATATTGAGTAGTGTGTGCCTTGTTTCAGAGCTCTCAGTTAGTATTCTATGCCTCTTGAATAATTGGAGTTGGATTATTTTATGATTACATTTCATTATCCTAAAGGTGCTTTTTCCAAAAGGCAACTGGACTTCTTGGTTTTTGCTTTGAAAACATTTTGGTTCTCATCCAAAAAACTTCTTTAGTTCCCCAGCAGTTAGAACCGAAGAAGCTTCTAGGACATGCAGAGAAACATGTTCAAAGGAAAAAAAAAAACCCAAGAAAGTCCAGTAGCCTTTTGGAAAAAACACCTTTGGAACAACCATGACTAGATGACTGAGAGTCTCCATAGATATTTACATTTTATTACTTCGTTTTGTATTAATCAAAAAGCAGGTTTAAAATAATCCCCAAACCAAATAATCTTGTGGTTTACCACTATGCAATTGATGTTATTCATTTTTAATGCAGAATTTCTAACAATTTTAAAATAAAAATGATCTTTTATACTATAGCTTGACTTAATTGTTCTGATATAGGAATACATATTTGTCTACAGGATTCTTGGGATGGTCAACATATTCCAGTGCTTTTTTCAGTATTCTGTGGTACATTAGTGGCAATTTCCTATCATCTCAGCCGACAAAGTAGTGATCCTTCTGTCCTTTTGTAAGTGATGTCTTCCTGTTCCTATATTACATCAATTTTGTTTCTCAAATTGAGAAATATAGAAGGAATTAACTTTTCAAAAGCCTAAAGCTGCGTCTATGAACAGGGTACCTTAACTCACTTAGAACTAGTAGTAAATAGATATAGGATTGGAATTGTAGCTTTTTGCTGCATTGAAATTTCTTCCTTAAAAATGCTAGGTTACTCTGATCACTGCCATAGACTATGATGATTCTGAAGCATTTGTATATATATAAAAGGCCCGAAAGGCCTTGCTCATGGTCACTAATGCATTAGTCACTTCCCAGTTGGATTTTTGCAACGCGCTTTATATGGGACTGCCTTTGAAGATCACTTGGAAGTTACTAGTCCAGAATGCAGCAATACGCACAATGTTGGGGGCTCATAAGTTTGCCCAAATTGCATCTTTATTGAATGAGCTGCACAGCCTCTTTATTGAATGAGCTGTACAGTTTCCTTCCATGTGCTTGTTCTCACATTTAAAGCCATACATGGCACAAGACCTAGTTATTTGTGGGACTACTTCTTCGTAAGAATATCTGCCGATCCCACTAGATCACATAGGGTAATCACGCTTCTGGTTCCTTCCCTGAAATCTTGTCATCCAGTGGGAGCTCAGAAGTGTGCCTTTTCTGTGATTGCCCCTACCTTGTGAAACCCCTTCCCCCATCAAGAAATTTGATAGGTGCCTACCCTTCGAGCCTTTTGTAAGAAATTAAGACCTGGCATTGTACCAAGGTGCTGGGATAGTTGTCAGGCACAAATGAACAAACCACTTTTTTTAAAAAAACAAGTTTTATTCAGTTTTCATATTTTAACATCTCTTTTTAGTGAACAGCATGATTACAGGTTTCACATATACATACAAATATGACCGTAGTTACATATTCAATTTTTGTATTCAATTTCTTATCTTAACAATGGTTTTATACATTTTCTGTTTTATTATATTACTCCAAATGCTTATCTCATTATTTAATTCGCTTTGTTAGCTTCATAATTATTATACTTTAGTACTTTTAACTGTCACGTTTGTATATTTCTTCTTAAATTCTGATTAAAAACACTCCTCCTATAAATTGGTTTCCCCCCTAAAATATCAATTTAAGTACGCTACCCCTAAGTTACATGTTCATTAATTATCTCCCATTTTAAATACCATTAAACGTCAAACAAACCACTTTTGAAGAGTTCAATTAGCTGTGTTATTGCTGAAGCTTGTACACAGGAATTTTCTTAGACTAATGGTTTGCACCTGGGTAAGTCTAGGTAAAGTTCAATGGCATTCAAGGAAAGGTTGCACTTTGCCCACATAGAGATTCTAGACTACCGTCAGTCCCTGTTTGACTCCTCTCCCTGGTTCAACCAGTCCCTCTCCTAAAACAGTATAGATAGGTAGTTTGGAATATGGGCAACTGGAGCCTACAGTGGGGAATCCTAAAGAGATGTTTTTTTGTTTTATTGTTTTACTGTTTTTACGATTAAAAAATTAAAGTGAAAAATTACACAAAGCTTTAAATTACTTAGAGATATGTTTGAAATATGGAACTGAAACAATTCTGACGATATCCAAAAGATTAGTGTGTAATAGTTAAATGGTAACATTCATTTACATTTTCAAGTTTCATCTGTTTCAGTGAAATTATGAATGATTGGCACCTTGCTCTAGAGCAGGGATATTAAACTCGCTGCCTGCGGGCCAGATGTGTCACGTGCTGCTCCCGCCCCCGGTTTAGCAAAGAGGAAAAAAGTCCCAATGCGTCACATGACACCACCATAACAACACAAGTTTGACACCCCTGCTCTAGAGGATATGTATAAGCAATTTATAACATTTTATCACATGATCACGTGTAAAAATATTCAGACAGTGGAGATAACCAAAGAGTGATAGAGCTCTTTTTTATAGATACCATTTGTTTTATTTAAAAAAAAAGGAATGCTCATTTTCCTTTAAACTTGAAGGGATGCTTTACATTTGCTTAGAATATAGTAATGAACAATGCAGTTCTTTTCTGTAAAGACTTTGTTTAAAACAAGTATTTACTTTAGCTCTTTAGTGCAATCAAAGCTTTTTCCTACTTCAGAAGATAAAAACCCAGAAGATCCATTATCTGAAGTCAAAGACCCCTTACCTGAAAAGCTTAGAAACTCAGTGGTAAGTTGTAACGTAGTTCAAATTACTAATAATTCTCACAAGTTTGCTATTATGAGTACTAAATATTGAGCTAAATAGTTGACATATTTCTGGAATATTTAGGAATAATCACCGTCTTAGTCATAATCCAACATATTATTTCCAGTAAAATGAACAATGCTAATGTCAGCTATAAATAAGCCAAATCTGTAGTATAAGACTAGTGAAAGATTAATAGGTAGCACGAACAGGGGAAACTTCCAGAACTATTAATACTGATAATTATTCATCTGGAATTTGTGGGAGATACAGTCTAAAACATTAGAATGCAGTGGTTCATGTGGTTAGGACACTGGGTTGGAGGTTAGCAACATCTGCGTTCGAAACCCATGTACTGCTGCATAGTTGGGTGAGCTCCTGTCATTTGCTCTAGCTCCTTGATGAAAGGAGCCCCCACAGGCATCCCCCATGCAATGGTGATGTCCCCGATTAATCCTTTCAACCCAGAAGTGCTTTAAACTGTACCTCCGACACAAATGGGATGGGGAGTCCAGAATATTTGGAAAACATCCCAACGTGCATGTTCTATGTCAATATTTCTATGAAAAGAGTATTTGATTATTTCAGAATATCTAAATATTTGCATATTTTTGCCACCAAATCAGAACTGGAACTTTTTAGGCTTATGGGTGTTATTATATTTACATTATATTTATTATATTAAATCAAACAATGCATTCTGCTGTAAAAACTTTGTACCATTAGTCGAGTGTGGAGCTAGTAATGCCATGGCTTAGGGATGCTTTGCTTCCTCAGGACCTGAATGACTTGCCATTCTTGAAGGAAGCACGGATTTTGATCCTGTTAGTGAATTCCACAGGAAAATATGAGAAGATTTGTGACACTCTGTTCTAAGAATTTTCTAAAAAAATTCTCTTTGTACAGCTTAGCAAGTCATCTGGTACCCAACCTAAAATTCCACAAATACATCAATAAAAACTATTGGGAGGGGAGTAGGTTTTGAGATTCTGTAAATACTAATTGCAAGACTATATTCTGAAACTTGTGTTCAAAATAACCATGTGCGTAATAAAAATGTGGAAATTTTATAGAACCTCCTTGACATGCAGATGGATTGTCTTTTTCTTCTTTCTAGAATGAACGTCTGCAGTCTGATTTTGTTGTTTGTGTAGTCATTGGTGTACTTTATTTTGCAATCCATGTCAGCACAGGGTTCACAGTATTGCAGGTAAGATTGATTTCTGCTGTCCACTTAAAAAATCATGACACACTTTTCTTTCATAAATCTTTCTTGGATATTTTTTGTATTGCTTAACCACATAGAAAACATGTTTCTAAGTTCAGTCATATCATATTGATTCTATGTATGTCTCTCTTTTGTTCTTACTTTAAGTTTATTCCAGCTAGTCCCCATTGCTATTTTAAGAATTTTAAATAAGGTGGGAAGGATATTAGGTAGCCTGTGATTAGAAAATTATCTCATTTCTCCATGTTTTTGCTTGTGCAACATTTTCTAGAACAGGCTGATGTGTCTGGTAATATGAGTAAATATGGAAACTTGGAATGCAAAAAACCGTGTTGTACTGGAACTGCTGTCTGAACAGACCAGAATCTCACTTTTGTTTGTTTTTGTTTTGTCTGATACACATGCTGTAAAATGCAAATACTAAAAGGACTATAGCAAGAAAGTTAGTAAACCTATCAGTGGGTGGCAACTAAATGATATACTTCCAGCAAATTCAGTGGTTAAGGAGCTGGAGAAGAATCTAGGTTTTAATCAAATTCATCCAGAGAAGCTCATTTTAAAACACCCATATTTTCTTAAAGAATAGGTGAGAAAATATAGAGGAAGAAGTACTCCAACCCTGGACAAAAACCAGAATTCTAATAATAACATGTCGTATAATATTCTGCATTTAAAGTACAACATTTAAAGAGAAAATGCAGAATTCTATTTCCATTTTCCTTCAGTTGGTATCATATTCCCATAAATTGATATACATCTTAATCAAGGGAAGCAACTAGAATCCAATAGGGTACTACTTCTTGTGTTTCTGATGTTTCTGATATGCCCTGACATACAATGTTAATTGGTAAAATTAAGCAGAGGAAAAGATATTTTTTTAATCAGAGCTGCAATTTACTATGAAATAAAGTAAACAAAGTAGCACAATTCTGAAAGGGATGGTTATTGTATTTACCTGATTTTGAAATTTATTTGTTTTTCTTAAAATTTTCTTTTAGCCTGTTTTAAGTTACGTTTTGTATGCATTGGTGGGATTAATAGGATTTATGACCCATTATGTGCTGCCTCAGCTCCGAAAACAGCTCCCATGGCACTGTTTTTCTCATCCATTGCTGAAAACCAAGGAATACTATCAGTTTGAAGTCCGCAGTAAGTAGCATAATTTGCAGTAAATATTGGTTGCATTATCACTAAATATATTGAGTTTTTCTAGTTAACCTGAAACAATTCTATCTACAGTTAAATTACATGCTAGTTGTTTTTCTTTTTACCATAGAAACCTTATTCCTCTCTCTATGTATAAAGAAAGACAGTTCAGCTGTCTTAAGGATGTTCTGTTAGAGGTATTAGAGTTGAGTTTGATATTCTATGCATACTCCAAAAATATTTGATTTCAGAATGTCCTCTTTGAATTCTTAGATGCCGCACATGTTATGTGGTTTGAAAAAGCTCATATATGGCTTCTTTTTGTGGAGAAGAATATAATCTACCCCTTGGTAGTCCTCAATGAGCTCAGCAGCAGTGCAAAGGCTATTGCTAGTCCAAAGAGATTAGATACAGAGTAAGTAGAAAAAGGCATGCATCTTTATTTTACTTTTGTTTTAATTATGATTAGCATTTTGGAAAAAAGGTGTCTGTTTGGGAGTTTTGTTTCTAGTTTCACTTCCCCACTGTATAGCCTTTCCTCACTCTCAACAATAGGAAAGCTTTAATGCCTGTCTCATGCAACTGTAGAATAAGAAGGTTTCATTCAAGCCATTGAGTTCAAATTCCTGCTTAATACAGAAATTCAACTTTAAGTTGATGGCAGTAGCAATAGCACTTAGATTTATATTCTGCTTCACAGTGCTTTACAGCCCTCTCTTAGTGGTTTACAGAATCAGCATATTTCCCCAACAATCTGGGTCCTCATTTTACCCATCTTGGAAGGATGGAAAGTTGAGTCAACCTTGAGCCTGGTGAGATTTGAACTGCCAAATTGCAGGCAGCTGGCAATGAGCAGACATAGCCTGTGATACTGCATCCTAACCACTATGGTTCTTCTACAGAAAAGGCGCCTACAATTTCCCTTGTAATATTTTTCCACTGTTAAAGTTCTTTTATTGTTAGGAAGGGAAGTTTGAATCTCTCATTAACTTTTTTTTACCTAAATCTCTACAAATTTCCACACAAACTCTCCACCTGTCCCTTCTCAAGTTTAAATTATTTGATACATGAAGTCCTCCTTTTCAACACCCTGTGTTGGAGATTCCAAACCTTTAGTTTCTCTGCTTTCTGAAAACTACCATATTATTGGGACATATCAGATATTAATATTTGCATAAATGAATGCTACCTTTTATTTTGTCCAAGACAATGGAATGTCATAAAAATAATATAAAAAGACTCAGAGCCCTATCCATTTGACTGTCTATCTGTCATCAAGATGACGCTCCAAATCCAGTAAGAGAATGGGGCCAAATGTGGTACGAAAGGGAAACTTGGCACGCGTGCCGGAAGTGGCACACAGCCATTATTCCCGGCACGTGAACCCTCACCCAGAAAAGGTCTACTGCGCATGCGTGCACACTGACAGCTGATTGTTGGGTATCTGGCACACATGCATAGCGGTGCACGCATGTGCAGGAGACACACATGTGCAGAAGCACGCATCATGGGTTGCATGCGCAGGAGGCATGGGGGGGTGCGCACATTGCCTTCTGAGTGCTGGCATGCAAGCACAAGCAGACAAGTGCGCATGCAATTATCGGCACGGGAACCCAAAAAGGTTAGCCACCACTGCCCTAGATACATGGGTATCCACTGATCGACAAGTGACAAAATTGAAATTGCAGTGCAAATTGTGCCTGTTAACAGATTTGCCTATATTGTTGCAAGGGAAATAGAAAAGGATGAAGCTAGCATTCTTCTGCTAGATGCACATTTCGCTACCTTAGTGTCATCACAACCAGTTGCAAATCTGTAATATGCTGAGAATCCAAACAAGATCCTGCGAGTTAGGAAACCTAATAAACAATAATTTTAGAAAGTAAGTTTACTGGGAATAATCAACAAAATAATCAAGTAGAGGGGAGTGAGGCAAGAAGACACTAATGGGAATTTCTAAAGGGAAAACTAAGGGAATTCTTTGGCTTCAGGTTTCATCTGAAATTGTATTTTTCTCATTGCAGACTTGGTGCTTTAATGATTACTATAGCTGGTATGAAGTTGCTGCGCTCATCTTTTAGCAATCCAACCTACCAGTATGTCACTATCATTTTTACAGTGCTTTTCTTTACGTTCGATTACAATCGATTCTCTGAAACCATGCTGCTAGACTTGTTCTTCATGTCCATACTCTTCAGCAAGGTAAAGTTAAATATAGCATCGGCAGTCTATTCCATATTATTACAAGCAAAAGGCAAAACCTGGCTTAGTCTGAACATCTCAGACTAAGAGCAAAGGGGGAAAAGGATTTTTGTATAGCAGAACTGTCTTTTTGGTCATGTACTATTATAAAACTCAAGCAGATCTTTTTAACACAGATTTAGTTCATATATATTAAACTCTTTATTTATTTAGCCACGGTTCACTGAATTATTAAATTATTATTTATAAAGTATAAGGGCTGGCTTCACACAAACTACTAAGCTGAAACCAGTGTTAATAGATGAACATGTCATGTGAGCACAACCTGTATTCTCCTTCAAGTATTATTTTATTGTTTCCTGTGGGTGGTTTAGTGTGATGTACGCCTTGTTACTAATTGAAACACCGTGTAGGTTTCTGTACACAAATTAATAATCAAACAGATAAACAGGAATTGTTATGGTACCAAGTATAAAGGTAGGCTATCCCATGTGCATTTTGATCAACGTTAGCTAATCTCAGAAAACTAAACAAAATTGTACATATTAGACATATAAAGTAAAATTGGGTAATTGGACAAATTTGCATTGGAGATTTAACAGGATATCTGGTAGACAAAAAACTGTGAATCTGAGAAAAAATATCCCAGAGTAAGCCAGCATAAACTACTGAAAAAATGCTTTGTTGCCAAGAAAAATACATGGGCAAAAATACATGAAGTCATCAGAAGTGACGACCCGCTCTACTTTTAAAATTTTCCTAGTCTTACAATGTAAAATAAATGGCAATGTCATGGTATTTTCCCCCCTCTATTTTAAAAGGGAACCCAGAAAAATTCCACTTCATTTCTGTCATTGACAGTGTCTTTAATCGGTTTAACAGGGAATGCTTACCACACAAAAATCTGCCAACTGGGATGCGGTGGGCAGGTCTCTCTGGCTCCCTCACATTGAGTTCCCTTAAGCCTTAATGAAAAAGTTATTTTGCACATGTTTCAAGAGGATAAAATCCATGCCTGATTATGCTTCTGTATTGCTACTCCTGCTGGGGCTTATATTTCTAAATATTTTATTCTGATTTCTTTTGTAGCTTTGGGAACTTTTTTACAAACTGAGGTTTGTGTACACTTACATTGCTCCTTGGCAAATCACATGGGGATCTGCTTTCCATGCTTTCGCCCAACCCTTTGCTGTGCCCCGTATCCTTTTGAAATTCAAGCTTATTTTAATTTGATCTCCTGAAATCTAAATCTAGTAGAGGAAATATACGTTAAGTGATTACAAAAAGCAAAGATGAATTCAGGTGCTCAATGTCGTAAGAAAAAATAATAGGGGACAATATCCAGCTTCATTCTATCCTGCTAATAAGAGATCTGAGTAACAATTATGGCATCCTTAACTTTATTGTCTGGTAGATTCCGCAATGCTGTTTGTCCAGGCAATCGTGTCTGCCTTTTTCTCTACCCCATTGAACCCTTTTTTGGGAAGTGCAATATTTATCACCTCTTATGTCAGACCTGTCAAGTTCTGGGAGAGAGATTACAAGTAGGTGTTACTGAAATCATACAAGGCTTTCATGTATAGTATATTTGTAATCCGTTGAAAAATAAAATATTTCTTCATGAAATTGTTGGATTGGTTCACTCTAGAATTTAAAATAAATGTTTTAATCTCAAAGGCACAAATAATGTTTCTTTTCTTGATACTGACTATTCTGAATATATAACTTAAATTTAAGAGAGAAAAAAAGAACTTCAGAGCTTCAAATATTTCCATTTATCAAATATTTTTTTTAAAGAGTGGAAAAGATTTGAGTTTCTCAGTGCAGAAGAATCTGCTTTTTTTCTGGCCAGACATTCTCATTTTGATATGTTTTTCTAGCAAGTCTTGCCAGAATTTAAAGAACCATTATTCAATTTGTTTCTCCTGCTTTTGGTAATGTTTTGATTTATTTATTGTTATGGCCTCCTAAAATGGATTTTTATGGCAGCTGTAAACTTTAGCTTTCTGGTTGCCACAACATTCATGGAAGTATCATTCAGAACTTTGAAAAACAGACAGGATCTGTTTTCACACCCAGAAAGCATATCTGGCTCAGCCCCTCTTATCAGAAAACAAGAAGAAAACAAATGACTGGAACTAGCACTGTTCATCGTCCTGTTGTCAGTTCTGTAAGAGGAATAGTGTAGCAGGGAGTCAAATATTTTGAAGAGCATCAATTGGGGAAAACTCTTATTGTATATTAACTTCTACATATGTTTCTCCCTTACTTATTTTAAGATAAGGCATGTAAAAATGACCCTCTGTTTGGAAGGTAGAATGGTAGGAAAAGAGATAGAAGAAGTACCCTGTGGGGCTTCATTTCAAGGCATTTCAGGAGCACAAGTAACTACTTTTTTGTCTTTATTTCAGCACAAAACGAGTGGACCACTCAAACACAAGACTGGCTTCTCAGCTTGACAGAAACCCAGGTAATATTGATGAAAGTAGGTGGGTGAGCTGTTGAGTGGATTATGCAATGGCTCAATTCAGTCCATACCTTTTTTTTTTTATGCAAATCAAAATTAACCTGAAAATCTGTAGGGATTCTCAGTCATCCAGGTCATGGTTGTCCCAAAGGTCCTTTTTTTTTCAGGAGGCAACTGGACTTCTTATTTTTTTTTCTTTTGAAGATGTTTTACTTCTCATCCAAGAAGCTTCTTCAGCTCTGACAGGATAGTGGGGAATGGAAGGATTTAAATTTTTTTAAAAAAACAAGAAAGTCCAGTTGCCTCCTGAAAAAAGTACCTTTGGGACACATTTAACCTGATGAAAGGTGATATTTTGCAACAGTATATACCTGCTTTTATAACATACATTAGGATTCTGTCTTTGAGAAGTATATTATGGAGGATAAATCTTAATAAGAATTTTGTTTTGTTTTGTTTTGTAGATATTGTTAGTAATTTACTTGAAATTTATTTGCAGCAAAGACAGTTCATTCTTAGATACTACATTCCATAATCATTCAAATCTTGCTTGTTTTATTGATTTTATCTATATTCTTTATCAGTTGTCTTCTTAGATGATGTGATATATACTACAGGTAGTTCTCGACTTATAACAGTTCATTTAGTGACCTTTCAAAGTTACAGTCACACTGAAAAAGATGATATGACCGTTTTTCATACTTATGATCATTGCAGAATCCCCATGGTCATTTGAACAAAATTCACATGCTTGACAACTGACTCATATTTATGATGGTTGTAGTGTTCCAGGGTCATGTTGATCTCCTTTTGCGACTTTCTGACAAGCAAAATCAATGGGAAAGACAGATTCACTTAACAACTGTTTACTAAGATAACAACTGCAATGGTTCACTTATCAACTGTGGCAAGAGAAGTCATAAAATGATACAAAATTCACTTAACAAATTTCTCACAACAGAAATTTGGGGCTCAATTGTAGTTAGAAATCAAGGATTACCTGTATTCATCTAGTAGATGAATTCAACTAATAGATGAAATCTTTTTCTCCAATTAAAGAACCACATTTTTTCAAACTGCAACTTCAGAGTTGTTACTAGTATTTCCTATTTCTATCATCTGAATAATTCTAGAGTCTTTTATGTTTTTTCCCTGTTTTTTTCTGGGGAAAAAACCCCAAAATTCTGCTTCTGTCCTTGTAAATACTCCTCTTTGCACAATCCCTATTTAAACTACCAGATATATTCTAGCAACTTGTCCTCTTATCTGGATTCCTCTTTTCAAAAAGAGCGTATCCAAAGATGAGGGAACTATCTGTAAAACAGTAACTAATTAACCTTAACCGGGGCAAACATTAATCCTATATGCTAGGCACTAAAGAGTGCAGATCTTTTATTTCTACTTTGTCTCTCTCTGTATAGTAGTATTGTAGAAAAAATGGAGAAGAAAGTGCTGTAGCTACTATCTTGAGTTCCTCGAATGGTTCAATTCCTGATCTCTCATTTTTGGGGTGCCCTAACCTAAGAAATTTACCTTGATACCAAGAGAGCCACCTATGTTAATGTTTCTACAGTGGAAATAATATGGCTAAAAGGCAGATGTTGAGTTAGTAAAAGCTCTTAAAGTGATCACCTATCTATCCCAGTCTGTTGTAATATCTTGGGATGATTTTTCAGTAGAATTGTAAAAATAAATAAATAAATTTATGTTTTTTAGTATATTGTATTATTTTTCTCCTCCATGTAGGTTCTGATGATAATAACTTGAATTCAATCTTCTATGAACATTTAACTCGCTCCCTTCAGCACAGCCTGTGTGGAGATTTACTCTTGGGGCGATGGGGAAACTACAGTACTGGAGATTGCTTTATTCTTGCTTCTGACTACCTCAATGCACTTGTACACCTTATAGAGATTGGCAATGGCTTAGTCACCTTCCAACTGAGAGGGCTTGAATTCAGAGGTAAAATCTATGTGAATGCACTTTTAATTAAGCTTCCTGTGCTACTTTCTGCTTCAGACATTGTAACATGCAAATGTAGTCCATTGGATTAATAAATATTTTAGATTGAGATGCTCTGAGTCTGGGTAAAATTGACAGAGCTGAACAAAATTCATTTTGTAACCTCAGACGAATTAATCTTTTCTTTCTTCAAACACTTCAACAAATATTCTGTTGCTTTTTCTTTCATTAGTGAATTTTCTTTTAGTAATTTCTGACATCTTTCCAATGGTATATGCATTGTAGTTAAAGAAAATCTATGATAACAGACATCACTGATCAAATGATCATGAACACATGAAGGTCCTTAATTATTTATCCCAATGCTACTCATCCCATTTTCTATCAGATAGCAAGTGCCAATCATTATTTTTAAATTATCAGAACTGATATTGTTAATGCTCCTATTTTTAAGAATTACTTTTTTCATTTCAGGAACTTATTGCCAGCAGCGAGAAGTAGAAGCCATCACTGAAGGGGTTGAAGAAGATGAAGGGTTTTGTTGCTGTGAACCTGGTCATATCCCTCATGTGTTGTCTTTTAATGCTGCCTTCGGCCAGCGTTGGCTCGCTTGGGAAGTTCTTGTCACAAAGTATGTCTTGGAGGGTTACAGCATCACTGACAACAGTGCTGCTTCCATGCTTCAGGTCTTTGATCTGAGAAAAATACTCACCACATACTATGTCAAGGTACATCTCTTAACATCTCTAATGTAGAATCACCTTCCTCTTTACAAATGAGTACTAAGCTGTTTTAGCCATGCTGTTAATATATGTGCGATATAGAGGTCATCCTAACTTACAACAGTTCATTTAGTGAATATTCACATTTACAATGGCACTGAAAAAAATGACTTACGACCTTTTTCCACACATGCAACCATTACAATATCCCCATGGTCACATGATCAGAATTCAGATGCTTGGAAACGGACTCATATTTATGACAGTTGCAGTGTCCTGGGGTTATGTGATCACCTTTTGTGACCTTCTAACAAGCAAAGCCAATGGGGAAGCCAGATTCACCTAATCACTGTGTTACTAGCTTAACAACTTCAGTGATTCACTTAACTCTGGTAAAGAAGGTAAACAAATAGGGCAAAATTCACTTAACTATCTCGCTTAGCAACATAAATTTTAAGACTCAATTGTAGTCGTAAGTTGGGGACTACCTCTACACCAATATTTTAATTCTTTTCAAAAGAAAGGGTGGTAATGTGTCTATGGAAAAAAATCACATTGGCTAGAAATGCACTGGAGAGCAAAGTTGCTTTGGGGTTGAATGTGTAAGGAGTCTGAACTTCAAATGTAAATCCACCCAGAGAAATTAACAATAATAAGTACTTTACAAACTATTCTTCTAAATGGTTTCACATTTGTTCCTGTAAACCAACAGGAAAAACAATAAATCTGGGTATTTTCGTTTCTTCCATTTCTTTACCTTTCCTTTCTGTACTATGGTTTGGGTCTGGTAAACAAACCTTCAGGATTCAACATCTACAGAGGATGTGTTTAATCCTTCTTTCTATGTTTGTTAAACACTTAAAAGTTACAATTGTGTGTATATATTTGTTAGTTTTTATTGTTTTTTATTTAAGTTTTAAATAAATTTTTATTACATTTTCACAAATACAAATCTCAATCATGTTTGTATCAACATTTTGGCATAGACAAATATGTATATCTTATAAATCTTATTATATACATCATTGTTATATACATCAACAAGTATCATGTGTGGTTTATTATAGGTATCTATAATTACTTCTAATATACCTTATTGTCTATATGTCTAGAATAATATGAGGTTTCTTATTTTAATTACATCAATCCATTTTTCCTACTTTTTATATCTATTCTCTTTTTATATGTATTCTTTATTATTTTTTATTTTAAATATGGTTTTAAATTCTGTAAGCCGCCTTGTGTTGCCGTGGGTGAATAGGCGGCAATATAAATTCAGTAAATAAATAAATATATTGTAATAACTTTATTTTTTTTATCTTGTAGGGTATCATCTATTATGTAATATCCTCTCCCAAGCTAGAGGAATGGTTATCAAATGAAACAATGCAGGAAGGACTGCAGCAATGCGCAGACCAAAATTACGTAGATGTAGACCCTACATTTAATCCGAACATTGATGAGGATTATGATCATCGGCTAGCAGGGATTTCAAGAGAAAGTTTTTGTATAATTTATCTCAACTGGGTAGAATATTGCTGCTCTCAGAGAGAAAAAGTAAGTACTTTGGAATGATTAAGAAACCCTATGAAGATATGCTATCTTATCTCTCAGAGCATCTAAATCCTGAAAATGTGGAAGAATTGGCAGTTGAACTTCTTAGCTGAGTCCCGTTTTATATATATTTGTTTAAAGTATTTGTATTTGCTCTGAAGGGAATTGACTGCTACCAAGAACCTGCTCAGTAATACAATATCCCATTTGCTGATGATGGAACAGAAAAGCTTGCAGCAACTTTTATCAAAGTGAAAGTATATGTCCCATTTTGGGTATTATTCTTCACTTTTTTTTCTTAAGAAAGTAGAAAACGATGATGAAAAATTACAGTTTGAATTATATGATGGAACGTAATGGTATTATGCACACACAAACATCTTACATGCCTTACCTAATGTTTTCACTTTTTTTGTCGTTTTTGTTTTTACTTAAAGCCACTCAATGCAGATAAGGATTCTTCTCTGGTTACCCTTTGCTACGGGCTGTCTGTTCTTGGTCGAAGAGCTCTAGGAACTGCTTCACATCATATGGCTAGGTACTCTTATTTATTATTCCAGAATAGGTCCCCTAGAACAGGAGTCTCCAACCTTGGCAACTTTAAGACTTGTGGACTTCAACTCCCAGAATTCCTTTGCAAAGCTGGCAGAGGAATTCTGGGAGTTGAAGTCCACAAGTCTTAAAGTTGCCAAGGTTGGAGACCCCTGCCCTAGAATACAGCTTTACCCTTTTCCATTCCCACTCTTAACTTGACTTACCAGATTTGAGTAGCTGATTTCAGTCTCTAAATATTAGTGACAAATTCTGACAGGATAATTAACAGGAGAGAGGAAGCTTATCCTGCTGCACTGTTCCTCCATAAACATTTAGTATTTAGGTTTTTTTTGGCCTTTATGTCCCTCATCTAAATGATCATAAGAAAATGTTTTCAATTAAAAAGTTGCAACTCCTTTATGCAGTATAACTGTTTGTTGGGCTCTTGGCATTCCCTGAGCTTGCTTTTCTCCCTCCGAATATTTCATGGCCAGCCTAGCTAACCTCATCAAGTACATGGTGGAGTAAAGTTTACTCCCTGCTTTGATTAGTGTATTTGTTTCTTCTTTGGTTGATAGTTTACTGCTGGTTCCTGTTCTGGCAATGGTTAATAAGTGCAGGATGATGAAAAATGGACTTAGATCTGTTGGCCCCTTTCTTTGATTATGGTTGCTTCCGTTTTGGAATGGCTCATAACTACACCTTTTTTCAGTATGTCTGTAAATGGCTGATTTCTCAGAGGGACAAACTTTTAAAGTTGTGTTTCTCAATCTTGGCAGCTTGAAAATATGTGGACTTCAAGTAACATAATTCCGGAAGCTGAAGTCCACATATCTTCAAGGTGCGAAAGTTGAGAAACTGCTGTAAAGAATATGCTTGCATTTTTGGATCTTTTGATTTTAATATAGTCATTGACCAGCACCGAGTTTCTATTTGATCGATCTATAAACATTGAGAAGAAGAAAAGAGAACTTGAAGAATGTCAAGAACCCAATAGTTCAACTATGGGCTACATATATTCTCCACTAGGATTGTCAGTCTCTTGTAAAATGAATAAAGAAATTTAGCACACATAATGAATGAATGATAAGGAACCTCAGAAATCTTTTCCTGAACTTCAAGAATAGAATAAGTATAAAATTGTTTCTGAGTGAAGTAAAAGACTCTGAGAGACAGAAATAATTTGTCAGTGAATAAATAGGCCAGGTGCTTATTCAGTAAATACTTGCAGAGTACAAGGTAGTGGAAGTTTCCAGATAGAACTGCTACTGTTCTCATTAACCCAAATAATTTATGCCACTTTTCTGCCAATTTGAGGGTTATTAGTTTTCTTTTAGTGTTTCAGCCATTGCTTGAATACATAGCCAGAACAGATGTGGAACTGAAGAATGATTGTCAGGATTTTTTTTTAAACTCTCCTGATTTATATTTGTTTATGATGGCAATTTAAATTTGCTTTGGCAGTCCATAATGTTTATATAGAAATGAAAGTCTTACTTTCTTCAACTAATTTTAGAATGCTGAATGCTTGCTTTAATGTTTGGGGTTTCTCTCTCAAACCAAACAGTAATCTGGAATCTTTCCTGTATGGGCTCCATGCCTTGTTTAAAGGAGACTTTCGTATATCATCAATTCGAGATGAATGGATTTTTGCAGACATGGAATTACTGAGAAAAGTGGTGGTTCCTGGAATACGCATGTCACTAAAACTGCATCAGGTATAAAGAATGCTTACATACATAACCAAAAGTTATATAGATTGTTATAACTCAAACTCCGTGGGTAAGGGATTCAAAAGCAAAAGGAGTCGTTTTTAGTAATGTATGAGGAAAAGGTTTAATTGGGAAATGAATGCCAATAAACACAATAAAAATCAATTCAGTGTTAGTTTTATTCATTCATTCAATTTCTGTTTCGACTCATCTCAGGCAAGTAATTACTTATATATCATCTGGTAAATTTAATAAATTTATCAGAATGACTCACTGAGATGGTTGGCTATAGAAATTGAATAAAATAAATGAAGTTTTTTCACACATGTATTTGTATGCATAATTGAAATGTATTAAAATAATGTTGTTCCAGTAGATTGAAAAATACATGGATAATGACTGGTGATACCATTCTTTATCAGTTTATTTAGGATAATTTATCAGGAAGGGTTAATTTAACTTCCAAGAAATAAATTGGCTTTGAAATTTTTTCAGTCACCTGTTTGAACAGGATTTATTTTCACAAATAGCTTCATAATTAAAGATATGTATGTACCTTATGTGAATTTGCTTTACTGTCCATATTAGCAGAATCAGCAGTTCAGTCTAGAGTGAATAGATATTTTGAATAGATATTTTAACAGATCTGTTTGTTTTTTTAAAAAAACAGCTTCCATTTTTCTTTGCAAGATTACTTCATGTAGGAAAGAAATGTTATATGAAGTGAGCAAATTTGGGGAAAATGGTTGGAATTAATGGAGAAGGGAAGAATTGAGCATCTAGGAATTGAAGGGAAACAGACTATACTTTTCATTGTCACTGACTGCAAATTTCCCTGGTAATGTTTTATCAAAATTTCCCTGGTCTCCATTGTTTGGCTATTTTCTCATTTTTAATGCCAAATTTTCAGAAGCATATATTGGTTTCATTTGCATTTCTTAAAAGCTAGTGCAATTTTTACATCTTTTTGTAAAGAGAAGAGAAAAGAGAAGAACTATGTTTGTTAATTGCATTTGGTGTTGCCATGGTGCCAGATGTTACAAATCCATCCCTGAAGAAACATATGGCTGTGATGTTTTACATCTCGGCTTAAAGCCTAGACCGTGATCTATGAATGCTTATACCAGGGGTCTCCAAACTGGACAACTTCAAGACTTGTGGACTTCAACTCTTAGAATTTTGGGAGCATTCTTCATTGTTTAATGTTTTTCTTAAGCTGATAATGATGCAATTTTCAATAATTGAATTTGGATGAATATAAACTTTGACGGTATAATTTTAGTATAGACTAAAACAATGTTCCTCAACAGTGGCAGCTTGAAGATGTGTGAAGTTCAACTCCCAGAATTCTCCAGCCAAACTTGCTATTCTGGGAGTTGAAGTCCACACATCCTCAAGTTGCCAAGCCTAAGTAACACTGGACTAGAATATAATCTTTTCACAGTGATGGCTCATATTAAACAGTGCTTTTACTCTTTGGTTTAGGATCATTTCACCTCTCCCGATGAATATGATGATCCCGCTGTTCTCTATGAAGCTATCACAACGCATGAACAAAATCTGGTTATAGCTCATGAGGGGGACCCGGCTTGGCGAAGTGCTGTACTTTCCAATTCTCCCTCCCTACTTGCCCTTCGCCATGTGATGGATGATGGCACCAACGAATACAAGATCATCATGCTGAACAAGCGCTATCTAATCTTCAGAGTCATTAAAGTAAGTTAATATTAATGGGGTGGATGAGACCACCTGTTATAGGATGAGATGTAATAAGTGGGGAGGATAGGCAATTATTACTTTCTAGTATGAAATTGGTGTTTTGATTTTTTTATATTCCTTTTTTAAATGCTGTGGTTGTGTTAAGCAATTCTCTGATGTTAAATGATTTTAGGTTTTTTTAATATTTTGATTAAGGAAATCTGCACGACTTGCAGACTAGGGAAGAAATTTAAAAAAACAATTATATTTTATGTTTCATTCCAAAATTGTGAGAAGTGTATCACTCACTACCTTGTTATATCTCACTTCCTACAGCATGCTAATAACAGTTTTTATCTATTTCTTGTGTATAAGCAATTTTTAAATTTGTTTATGCCAACACTTAGAAGTAGAATAAATAATGATATAATATATGCATGAATGTGTTTCATAAAGTTAAATACAAAGGTCGCATGTTCCTGAAGTAATTAAATGAATTTTAGTTATTTTTCTAAAAGGTAAAACTTTAATGTACAATTTTAAAATTGTCTAAATCTTAAGGGTATTTATGATTAGAATAGAAGTGTGTGTGCATGTGCGTGTCTATATCCTGTTTTCGGTATGCATTTAAAAAGCGTCTGTGGAGAGTCTCAATCATCCAGGTCATGGTTGTCTCAAGGATGCTTTTTTTCAAAAGGCAATTGGACTTCCTTGGTTTTGGTTTTTTTTTTTCCTTTGAAAATGTTTCACTTCGCATCCAAGATGCTTCTTCAGTTCCTCACCAGTTAGTTAGAACCAAAGAAGCTTCTTGGATGAGAAATGAAATGTGTTCAAAGGAAAAAAAAACCAAGAAAGTTCAGTTGGCTTTTTAAAAAAAGCACTTTTGGGACGTTTAAAAAATGGTTGTAATTTTAGACCACTTTTGTGCTAGTAGATTTATTTGATAAAATCAGTGAATATTTGATGTCATAAGATTCATGTAGTTATAGCTGTCCGATTTGCATTTTTCCTCACTATTTTCCTAAATACCTTCCTGATTTCTGTATTTTTGCAGGTAAATAAGGAATGTGTCCGTGGCCTTTGGGCTGGGCAGCAGCAAGAGTTGGTCTTCTTACGCAATCGAAACCCAGAAAGAGGGAGCATCCAAAATGCAAAACAAGCCTTGAGGAACATGATTAATTCATCTTGTGATCAGCCTATTGGATACCCAATTTATGTCTCACCTCTGACAACTTCATATTCCGATAGTCATGAACAGCTAAGAGAAATTCTGGGTGGTGCCATCAGTCTGGGAAACATCAAGAACTTCATAGTGTCTACATGGCACAGGTGAGTAAAAGTGGTATCCAGAGTACAGTTTCTCATTTTTGTATATTTAATTAGAATGGTACACTATAAAGCTTTTTTTTTTAACCACTTTTCTTTTTGTGATGCAAACTCAGAGTAAGATTCCTGTCAAAAGAAGAATATTGCTTTTATGAGAAATGTAGAAAGTCTGTTTCAGTATTTTGTCGATGGTCAGTTTAATCCCAGTCAATTTAACAGTCAGTTGAACCTCCTGCAAACATTAACTATGGATAAAGTTTGCTCTTTGTGAAACTCTGTTTCAGGTACAGAATGCTCCCTTAATATATCCTATTTTTCTCTGGAGTTCCAGAGATGATTTGTAAGTTTCTGAAGGTAAATTAGGCAATGCAATCTTACCTGTTTTGTTTCTTCTTGAATTTCTGGAAGAAAAGTAGGACATAGGATAAATAAACATGAAAATAATACGTCAAGATATGACTTTACAAGATTTTGGTAGAATCTGATAACTACTTTCGTCGTCTGCTTGCTGTTGTTTTTTTATTTATTATCATTGTTATGTTCAGGTTAAGAAAAGGCTGTGGTGCTGGTTGCAACAGTGGAGGAAACATTGAAGATTCGGATGCTGGAGGTGGTACTTCCTGCACAAGTAATAGTGCAACTGTGAACGATTCTCAGAGCAGCGTATCTCAAGGAGGTGGGAATGCAACTATTGGACAGGGATCTGGAGTAGGACTGCAACCCCCCGTCGCCTCTCATCCAGTCACTCTAGGTAAAACTGAACTAGTGCCCAAGAGTGTATGCATTCAAGTACCTCACTGCCAGATTGGGATAATTAATCTTTGAAATGTTGTTTTAACTTCTGTCTTCCCATCAACAGCATATGTTAAGCATGTTTGGAATCCACAGGCCCCGTTCCATCCATTCACCTTGCAGCTTTGGTGATTCTGCAGAGGGTAATGGTAAAGATAACAAAGATCAGCACACATATAAAAGACATAATTTGTCTTCCAAAATCTCAATATTATGAAGCTGCACATATTTTCCAAATGGAAAATTCTCAGACCCATCCTAAAGTAGCCGTTTGATAGTAATAACATCATGTTTGGACTCTAGCCTTGAGCAGACTCAGCCTACCTTGGTTATCTGGGAAAAGTTTGACAAGGATTCTTGGAACTCTTACTTTAGCCATCTGTGCATGGACCCATATTCTTCCTGGTTAGCCAAGGCTTCCTTGGGTTATGACAAATGGCTATGGCACTAGCAAATTCCTCATTTGGCGAGGGAGTGGTCTTGCCACTGCTTAAAGAGCCAGTAGTTTGCCCTGCTCAAAAGCCATCACTGGATTCAACCTTTTAGGATAATGCTGATTCCATCTCCAATCTTTTCTTTCTAAAGAAGGCTGTCGAGAAGGTAGTTGTACAGCAGCTTTAGAGAGGAAACAGATTATCTTGACCCTTTTCAGCTGAGTTTGAGACCAAAATAACATTGATTGCCTTTATGGATGACCTCTGTGGGAGAGATATGGGAGGTATGTCCAACCTGGCTATTCTTGATCTCTTAGTGCCCTTCAGTACCACTGATTGTGGTACACTTCGAAACCAGCTTTGAAGAGTGGGAGGTACAGTTTTGCATTGATTTTCCTCCTTTCTTCAGGACCAGTTCTGGTTAGCATTGATGACGGGGAGGGAAGAGAGAGATCTAGCTCATGCATCCATCCCTCAAGGTTAATTGATCTTCCCATTCCTATTTCTCATCTATATGAAGCAGCTTGGCAAACTCATCCAATAGTAGGGGTGATACTCAGCTGCTCAGAGTTGCTTCAATCCTGCTTATTCCAGGTCTTTGGGAAGGAATGCCAAATCCATGCCAAATATTTGGCTGACTGTCCTAAAGATGCTCTTTTCAGGAAGCAAATGGACTTTCTTGTTTTTTCTTTGAAGATATTTCACTTCTCATCCAAGAAGCTTTTTTAGCTCTGATTGGATGGTGGAGAATAGAAAGATTTATACTCCTTTTGCAGACAGCTTTTAGAGCACAAGTGTCAAACTTGCTGCGTCACGTTGCCGTCATGTGTCGTATGGTCCTTCATGGAGCTGGGGAGGGCGTGGCCTGCTCCTGATGCATCCAGCACGTGGGCCATCAGTGACAGTTTGACACCCCTGTTGTAGAGGATTGTTGAGGCACTTGGAGGTTTATCTGGTCTTCAAAGAAAAAAAGTCAGTTAAATCCTGAAAAAGCACCATTGGACAACCATGTCTGAGAATCTCCACAGACTATCTGGCGGACTATGACAAACTAATAATAATAATAATAATAATAATAATAATAATAATAATAATAATAATA